TTTTTTTTTTTTTTTTTTTTGTGCAGAGTTATCATATAATATTTTTCATACATATGTCATTCATTTATGACGATATACGTCATGTGACAATTTTCGCTATCATGGTAAATAATTAATGATATTTTTTTAATCGTCACAAAAATATAATTTGTTAAATTAATTTTTGTTATTATTCCAATAACTTAATTCAATAAAAATATTTTAAATGATTTTAAATCACTTTTAATCACGTTGAAAGCAAAGTAAAAAATGTGTCTCTATTATATTTTGATCGTGATTATTTCAATGATGTAAAATTGATGTTGCTAGGAGCACTCAAATAATTAAAATCGAGAACACGAGCCAAAAAGTATTGGGAGGATACGAGTCAATTACTTTTTGATTTAGGCATATGCATATTGCCTTAAAAGCTGAGCTATGCTCAAGCTAGGTATATACCATGTTATTATAATCGTTAATACATTAAATATACGACCATTTTCACTATTAATGTCATAACTTTTAGTAGTAATTTGGTAGGTAACGTTTTCAAACAGTGTCGATAAAAATTTGCTTAGTGAGTATTACGTTTTCGATCCTGTAACAGCCAAATTCTTATTGTCCGTTTTTCGCCCGTTATGTATCGTCGTTAGCTCCACAATTTTAAAACGTGTCTACTAAAGAGAAGTTTCTACACCCTTATAAAAGAATGTTTCATTTCCTTTTTCAACCAACGTCGCTCTTCACATATCCTAATATCTTTTGGTTGCTCTTAGATCGAAAAAAAAAAACTTATTTGCAACTTTTTATGTTTGGTATGAGTTAGTTTCGTGGGCGAAAGAGAACCTTGTCTAAGATTCGACGAAGTCGACAGACGAGTAAAAAAAATATAACGAGATTCGGGTTTCTCTTAAAACTGATCATTATCGTGTCAAAATCATGATGCCCCACAGTTTAAAAAATACGACTGTGATTGAATTTTTTTTCGATTCTAAGCCGAACTTTGAATTCAGCTCAATGTAGAATAAGAAAAAACCCTACAATGGCTTCTTACCATACCATAACGTCACCCCCAAATCAAGAACTTGCAAACGAGCTTGAGGTTCATATCATTTGGATAAGGTGTTCTTGTCAAAGTTTGTCATTTCAATCTTAATTTCTAAGAAATTTCATACCCAACTCTTCCAATCGCTTGGCGGAATTACCAAACACTTCCAATTGGAAGAGCCATCGAAGAAAAAACAGGGCCCCAATTGGGCGGTGCCATCGTCAACGGATCCCTTCCCTTAAATAACGATTTTCAATTCCATCTCTTCTCCGTGTGTTTCCGTTTTCTTGTTCCACTGTAATTCGAGCGACCCAACCAAACTTTGATTGCTCTCTTTCTCGCCCTGAATTGTTATCTCAAAAGCCTGAAAAGTTGAATTGAGAGAGAGAGAAAAGAAAAATTAGACACATACAGCAATAATTCCCACTTTTCTTTTTCCAACTATCTTCTATATCTTTCTTTATTGCCAGCTCTGCGGCCCCGTCTTCTCCCATTCCGCTTTCTTGCGTTTCTTACTCACTCCTCTCTCCTCCACCCTTTGTTTCCAGAGGGTGTGGGAGATCTCCGTGCAGGTCAGCTGAATCAATTCGATTGCGTTTTGTTTATCGCTGATCTCGTCTTTAATCGCTAACCCCATGTGATTGTTCTTTTGATCTGGGTGTTTCTTCGTTTTGTTTTTTATTTTTTCTTTCTGGGTTTTGTTTGTTTGTTCTTATTGTGTTCATATCTGGTTCAGATGCCCTCAAAGCTTTGATCTGATTGGTACATGCCACCTTGTGGTTTATTGTTGATCCTTTTATTGGTGATTTATAAATGTTTTGGACTTGTTCTATCTCAGTTGGATGCGTTCTTACTGTGTACTTGAAGTTTGATATTGTAGTTCATCCATTATTTCGAGGAGAATCTAGCAACTTGGATATGGGTAATTGTTAGGCTAAGTAAATCTCCCAATTTAGAATTTCCAGATATCAATGTTGGATTACAGCAGCCGATATCGTCCAGTGCTAACAAAACAATGAGATTTGTTCTCTGGATTGTTCTTCCACATCTGAGATTTGGACTACAGCAGCTGACTTAATCTTAAAGAGCATACTGATTATAATTTTGAGGGTTCAAGCAGACTGCATTGTATTTTCTTTTAATTCTTGGTAAAAACATGGATTGTCTCGTCAGAAGTTTTAAGGGAGTACTTTTGTCATTCATGTCTCCTAAACGATGTTTGCATCAGCATCGAGAAACTGAAATAGAAGGGCATCCTTGCTCATGGAATTCTCTAATGTGTGGTTATGTGGTGAAGATCAGTGACTGAACTTACATTGCCATGCTCAAAGGATTCTATGAGATGAAGATCTAAGATGTTTGTTTGAGTGGCGATGTAAGGTCTAGCAAAGGGGAAAAATGCAAGAGAATACATTAAGAAATAGCTCATATTGTTTTGCTTGCATTGAATTTTATAAGTCTGTTCATGTATCTTTTATTTTCTTGTTTTCCACTGATTTATCACCATTGTACTCTGTTTGACACCCCTGTTTTCTCTCTTCTTGCAGTGAATTCTTGTGGCATTTCCGGATTTCAGATTCAGTAATTTAAAAACTGTCAGTTTCTCTTGAAACTAAAGAGATAGTAGCAGAGAAATATTCTCCAATGTCTAGCTCTGCCAAAGCCTTGGATCCTGCATTTCAGGCAGTTGGACAGAGAGTGTATCCTTAGAAAAATTAGAAACTTGTTCATCTGGAAAATAATGTTCTTTAATTCATTCGAGATTAGAGCTGTATACTTGTTGTGTTATTTGGATACTCATAATATGGAAGTGCGATTCGATAGAATATTTGACTGTAGCTTCTTGTATGTGATGGATTATATTTAGAGCATGTGTCAGAAGTTTGAGATGTTGAACTTAATTTCCTGTAGTGGAACAGAAATCTGGCGAATTGAGAACTTTCAACCTGTTCCATTGCCAAAGTCGGACTATGGGAAATTTTACATGGGGGATAGTTACATAATTCTACAGGCATTTCATTCTAGTTCTTCTCGTCTTTAATGCTTGCAAATCTTGTGATATGTCTTTGTTATTGAGCTAGATCTTTACTTTTTATGCAGACATCTCAGGGAAAAGGTGGTTCTTACCTCTATGATATACACTTTTGGATTGGAAGAGATACTAGTCAGGTATCATCTCCTTATTTCATCTTCCTCCTTTCCTCATTGAGAACTGAAAGGTGAATTTTGTTTTATTAGGACTTGATTTTCTTTGGCTTTTGTGTTAGGATGAATCAGGAACTGCAGCTATTAAAACTGTGGAGCTTGACGCGTCTCTTGGAGGACGTGCAGTACAACACAGAGAAATTCAAGGCCATGAATCAGAAAAATTCTTGTCATACTTCAAACCTTGTATCATACCATTGGAGGGAGGTGTCGCATCTGGATTTAAGAAACCCGAGGAAGAACAATTTGAAACACGATTGTATGTCTGTAGAGGAAAGCGAGTTATCCGAATGAAACAGGCACTTGATTTTTCTTTCCAGGAGTTTGTATATTCAACAGCATTTCTTCCAGTGACAAGGAGTTTTGATGTTTATTTTTGCATTTGGCTATCCAGGTTCCCTTTGCTCGTTCATCACTAAATCATGATGATGTATTCATCTTGGACACCGAGAACAAGATATTTCAGTTCAATGGTGCAAACTCTAATATCCAGGAGAGGGCAAAAGCTTTGGAAGTGGTTCAATTCTTGAAGGATAAAAATCACGAGGGGAAGTGCGATGTTGCAATTGTTGGTAGGAATAGAAGATATACTAATGTTTTTTGACCATCCCCCTGTTTTATGGTCCATCCGTGCCCCTTTCAATTGTATTTTTTAATTCATGGTTGATGATTTTCATATTGCAATACATTGAGTTAAGCATTATTTTAAACATACTAGATGACGGGAAGTTGGATACGGAGTCGGACTCTGGTGAGTTTTGGGTCCTATTTGGTGGCTTTGCTCCTATTGGGAAGAAAATTGCTAGTGAAGACGACATAATTCCAGAATCTACTCCTGCTAAGCTTCACAGGTTTGTGTTGGCATTCCCTGATTTTAGTTTAAGAAAATTTATTGAATTTTCGTGTGGCAAATGATTTAGAATGGATAATGGCTCCTAATAAAATCTATTGTCTTCCTAGCCTAATACAGTCCAGTAAGAAATTTATAATGAGCCTATTCTGATATTCACAAGCAAATGAACTCACGTGAGAAAGTATTAGAGGATATTTTATCACAGCATTCCTCCATTTTGATGATTTTCTCTTGTTTTGTTTAAGAATTTATTTTGAAGAAGCATAGAAGATCATTGGAATATAAAGTTTTCTGTGATTAATGATGATCTTTTCTTAACTTTTGGATTCGAACCTCACACCTGGAAACACATATTTCTAATTTCTGTCGATTTTTTTAGCATTGATGGTGGTGAAGTAAAAGTTGTTGATGGCGAATTATCGAAGTCCCTGTTGGAAAATAATAAGTGTTATCTGCTGGACTGTGGTGCTGAAGTATTTGTCTGGGTTGGAAGAGTGACGCAAGTAGAGGAGCGAAAAGCAGCAATTCAAGTAGCCGAGGTAAGCCCCCGTGCCAAAATTTCTACTAATTAACGTTATGTACGGGATTTATCAAAACAATACTTTATATTCAGGAATTTATTGCCAGCCAGAATAGGCCAAAGGCAACTCGTGTTACTCGGGTTATACAAGGTTATGAAACACATTCTTTTAAGTCCAACTTTGAGTCCTGGCCAGTTGGATCAGCGACTACCGGTGCTGAGGAAGGAAGGGGAAAAGTAGCTGGTAGTTATCACATCCAATTTATAAAATGAGTTTTCTATTCCGCTTGCTTCAAGTATTATTCAGTATGGTACTCTCTTTGTAAATAGCTCTATTGAAGCAACAAGGTCTTGGTCTCAAGGGACTATCAAAGAGTGCACCAGTGAATGAGGAAGTTCCACCCTTGCTGGAGGGAGGTGGAAAAATGGAGGTTTAAATGATTCTCAGTTTTGGTTGTTTAAAATGACTAAGTTAGTTTTGATTGTTTAATTGGGTTCTTGATGGTTTTCATTCTCCAGGTATGGCGAATCAATGGCAGTGCCAAAACTCCATTGCCAGAAGAGGATATTGGTAAATTTTACTGTGGAGACTGCTACATCATTCTTTATACCTACCACTCTGGTGAGAGGAAAGAAGATTATTTCTTGTGCTCTTGGTTTGGAAAGGACAGCATTGAGGTTAGTCAGCTTAGGATTTATTTTGTGAAAATCTAACTATTATAAAGTATACACTTTAACTTGCAATGTGGTTGTGAGATCCCACATCGGTTGGAGAGGGGAACGAACCATTCCTTATAAGGGTGTGGAAACCTCTCACTAGCAGACGCGTTTTAAAACTGTGAGACCGACGGCGATACGTAACGCGCCAAAGTGGACAATATCTGCTAGCGGTGGGCTTTGGTTGTTACAAATGGTATCAGAGCCAGACACCATATGGTGTGCCAACGAGGACGCTGGGTCCCCACGGGGTGGATTGTGAAATCCCACATCGGTTGGAGAGGGGAACGAAGCATTCCTTATAAAGGTGTGGAAACCTCTCCCTAGTAGACGCATTCTAGCCTTCCTTACTGTGTGATACACTTTGGACGATCTTTCCTTAATTTCCTTGGCTTTTGGTGGATTCTCATCACCATAGTATTTTCCTTGATCTAATGAAAGTCACTATTGTTTCCTATAAATAAAAATTTGCTTGTAATCCGTACAAAAAGTGTGGGGATGTTTTCTCATTAACCTAACATTTCAATTTCACAACACATTTAAGTGCATTTGTGCATAAACGTGTTTATTGTTTAATTGCTGTCAAACCATATATTTCAAACCTCAGGAAGATCAAAAGATGGCGACACGGTTGACTAATACAATGTTCAACTCGCTGAAAGGGAGGCCTGTTCAGGTAACATAATCATAACGTATAGATGATAAAATAGTTTCTACCTTTGAAATTTTCCTTATCATATATTTTCTTGCAGGGTCGCATATTTGAAGGCAAAGAGCCACCCCAATTTATTGCCCTCTTTCAACCTTTTGTAGTCCTCAAGGTGATGTAGTTTCCTTTACAAGGTTCTGATGTGGGACTGAGAGGGACCCTGAGTGAGAGATAACCATCATTTTCTTAATGAACTTTGCTGTAGGGTGGCTTGAGCTCTAGTTACAAGAAAGTCATTGCAGATAAAGCTTTGGCTGATGAAACTTACACGGCAGATTCTGTTGCCCTTATTAGGATATCTCAAACATCCATTCACAACAATAAAGCAGTGCAAGTTGAAGCTGTATGTTCTAGTGATTTTGATCATTTTTTTGCTATGTTGCCTGCAGTTCATGCTTTTTTAAACGCCTTTCAATCTTCCCTCTCGAGGTTTGAAATATATGTGTGTATATATATTCAAGCTGACTGGAAATGATGTTATAACATTGTCATTGGAAATGCCCCCATGTTTATGCTGAAAGTCTGTTTCTAATTTGAGCCATTTAATATTCAAGTGTTACGGTAATGTCTAAACTTCTGATTCTTTAGGTTGCGACGTCATTGAACTCTACAGAGTGTTTTATCCTGCAATCTGGCTCTTCCGTTTTCTCATGGCATGGAAACCAAAGTACATTCGAGCAGCAACAGTTAGCTGCAAAAGTCGCAGAGTTTCTAAAGGTAAGGTCTCAAACATTTTATCCTTGAATGGTTACAAATCTTCCTTTGCATGTGTCACATCCAAACTTTTGTTTGGACAACGAGTTTGTGTCTGACAAACAGTGGATAGTTTGACATTTGGGTTACTTATTAAGCACTATAGTCACTCCACGTCAGGTACTAGTTCAACAATTTGGATGTCCAGAACAGCTGAGATGCTTATCAGATGACAGTGAGTATTTGTTGAGCACAATGGATAGGATATGCATTGGACACTTAGGAACATATGTGAAAGAATTAACTGACACTTGAGCTTAAGTGTTCAAACGTTTATTTATTTGTTTGCTTTCTAAAAAAATGAACAAAAAGAAATATATGTTCATCATTATTGAAGTGAAATATATAAAATTGGGGTTTTAAGCATATTGATACTTTTTTTTTCATGGAAACGGTGAGATTCCACATTAGTTTGGAGGAGAAAGAAACATTCTTTATAAGGGTGTGAAAAACTCTCAATAGCAGCATTTAAAAACCTTGAGGGGAAGTCTAGAAGGAAAAGTTCATAGAGGACAATATCTACTAGTCGTGGACTTGGGCTGTTACAAATGGTGTCAGAGCCAGACACGCGGTGTGCCAGTGAGGACGGTGAGTCTCGAAGGAGGGTGGACACCTGGCTGTGCCACGAGGGGGGGGAGGGGGGGGAGAGGGGTGGATAGTGAGATCCCACATTGATTGGAGAAAGGAAGGAGTGCTAGCGAGGATGATGGGCCCCGAAGGAGAGTGGATTGTGAGATCCCACGGGGGGAGAATGAATCATTTTTTGTAAGGGTGTGGAAGCCTCTCCCTAGCAAACGCAGTTTAAAAACCTTGAGGGGAAGCCTGGAAGGAAAAGCTCATAGAGGACAATATCTACTAGCGGTGGGCTTGGGCTATTATAGAAACTTTTTTTAAGAGTTAAAATAATGGAAATGCTAAGTTGTAATAGTAGATTACAATAGTAGGACACAAAAGGGCATACAAAAAGATAGCCCAACAAAAGGAGCCAAACCCAAGTTACAATAGTAGATTTTCTTGTATACCTTTTCGTTTGTCTTTCGATAATTACAGATTAAGAAGTATCGTTTTTTAGCGTTCGAAGATATCTTGTCTCGTTCTTCTTTTCATATATGTATACTGATATTTGTTAACTCGGTTGTTATTTTGTCTCTAACACAGCCAGGTGCTACTGTGAAACATGCAAAGGAAGGAACAGAGAGTTCAACCTTCTGGTTTCCACTTGGAGGGAAACAAAGTTACAACAGTAAAAAAGTATCTCAGGATATTGTCAGGGATCCCCACTTGTATGCATTTTCGTTCAGTCAAGGTGACATAGGTTCTTTTGTACGTTAGAAGAAATTATCTCATTTCGTATTCAACTGTTATCATTGCTGACTTTTCATTCTTAACTGCTTCCCTGTTGGTGGTTGATCTTCGCATTTGTTCTTAAAGGAAAGTTCCAGGTGAATATTTGGATTCCTTGTTGATGAAAAAGTTAACCAGATGCAGTATTATGATCTTAAATTTATCATGCGCAGGTAGAGGAAATTTACAACTTTTCTCAAGATGATCTGTTGACAGAGGATATCTTGATACTTGACACTCAAGCTGAAGTGTTTATATGGATTGGTCATTCCGTTGACCCGAAAGAAAAGCAAAATGCTTGGGAAATTGGTCAGGTAGGAGTCGCAGAACTATATCGTGTATATTTCAATTTGCTTTCATTTCATGTCGTGTTTCGTTTTCTTTTTTCCAGAAATATGTGGAGATGGCTGCATGTCTAGAGGGATTGTCTCCTAATGTGCCGTTGTATAAAGTTTCGGAAGGAAACGAGCCATGCTTCTTCACGACGTACTTTTCATGGGATTATTCTAAGGCCATTGTATGTGCTCAAACTTCGATTACTCGTTTATTGCTTGATCCTATAAATCTTGCGAACTTTCAACAAATTTATGCTGTTGTTAAAATTTGACAGAAAAAACAATGTATTCAGTACTTCATAGTTGGCCATGAAATTTTGATAATATGATCACTTCCATTCTCTGCTTGTAGTTACATACTCCGTTCTTTGAAAAAAAAAAAAGGAAAAGCAAAACCTTCAAAAGCATCCTCTCGTTTGAACAAATAAATTTCGAAGCGTAGAAGCATCTAATACGGACTTTATCTTTAGCTGTTACTAATTTGGTTCTTTGGGCATCCATGTTAATTTGCACAAATGCTAGAAGCCCCTATGTGAGATCCCACATCGGTTGGAGAAGGGAACGAAGCATTCCTTAAAAGGGGGTGGAAACCTCTTCTTAGTAGACGCGTTTTAAAACCTTGAGGAAAAACCCACAGAGGACAATATCTGATAGCGGTGGACTTAGGCTGTTACACCCTAATACACACTTTATCATAAAATGAAAATTAGCGTGTGCATAGAATTCATAAAATGATGTCAATGGAACGATTTATTTGAGTTGCCATACGCAGTGTTTTAATCTTTGGATGGAACCCAGGTTCAAGGGAACTCATTCCAAAAGAAGGTGACTTTACTCTTTGGCATTGGACATACTGTGGAGGTAATCAACTTCCTCTAGCTTCAAGCTTCTGTTCTTGGTATGAGATTATAAAGATAATATTATCTGATTTTCCATGCTCTTGTTGAGATAGGAAAAGTCAAATGGGAACCAAGGAGGAGGACCAACGCAGAGAGCTTCAGCTTTAGCTGCCTTATCGTCTGCATTTAATCCTTCTGCAGATAAATCCACCCACTTGGTAAATTACACAGCACAATAACTTCTTGTGTGTTTTTAAAGAGTAAGGATAATTTCAAGTTGATTTGATTGGCCATTGATTGGCAGAGTCCAGATAAGTCCAATGGATCTAGCCAGGGAAGTGGTCCGAGGCAACGTGCTGAAGCTCTAGCTGCCTTGACCTCTGCTTTTAAGTCGTCGCCTGCAAATACATCGTCTACATCGAGAGTATCAGGCAGAGGGAAAGGCTCACAAAGGGCAGCAGCTGTAGCTGCTCTTTCATCTGTTCTTACTGCTGAAAAGAAAAAGGCTAATGATTCCTCTCCTCCTCCAGAGAGTAATGTTCCAGGTTAGAAGACTTTTCCCGTTCATTTCTCTATCGAAAAATTCGGGTGGATAACGGGTTAATCTAATAGCACCATATTGCCTTCTAGCTTGCATTGATTTCTTGTTTTAGCTGTTAGTTTGAGTTAGATAAGTAAAGATTTGAATATCAAAGAACTGAATATGGTGCATTAAACGGTGGCAGCTGAACAAATAGAGAACCCTGAAGAAGTCTTGGATCTCAAGGAGCGATGGGAAACGACTCCTGTATCGAAAAACTATTCCGACGAAGCAGATGTAAATCAAGAGGGCCTGCAGGAAGAGAATGGTAGTCTAGCTGTTTTTAGTTACGATCGACTGAAGGCCAGATCCGATAACCCAGTGACCGGAATTGATCTGAAAAAGAGAGAGGTAAGTCTCTGTATTCGTTTTCTTGGCGAGTTAATAGAGACATATTTTCCTTAGTTCCAACTATTTGGGCATGTTTTCTTAGGCCTATCTCTCAGATGAAGAGTTCCAAACTGTATTTGGAACAACAAAAGAAGTATTCTATAAGTTGCCAAAATGGAAGCAAGACATGCAAAAGAAGAAAGCTGATTTGTTCTAGTGAATGAATCGAGATCGAACGAGATTATCGCTGCTCTCTAAGTATCAACTCTACATTTCTTCATCTATTTTGTTTTCTTGTTTATCTTGGTTGAGCTGAAATGTGTTGGCATTTTGATATTTGCCATTGTTGAACATAGTCATAGTTATTGTCATTCAATTGTGCTGCTGCCTGGAGTGATCTCTTTTTGCCCTTTTGATTCTGTATGACTCTTTGGTCATTGTTGCTGGTTGGTATGTAATGTTCAGAAGTTGTAGAACACAGAACCAGGCAGCCAATTCTTTCATTTGGTCCTCTAGTAGTTTATTTGCAAGTTTCGCCCTACTGTCGTAGTTTTCATTTGCTAGTAGGTTGCGGGTTGTATATGAAACGAATACGTCGTATGCGTCCTTCTATTTTATACAAGGAATGACATATTTTTCTGTTGTTTGATATCTATATATCAGTATTGATATGCATCTAAGTTTGAAGTTGCTATTGAATTTCTCGTCTTATTCTTGTTGGCATTCAAGGGAATGAAGTCTTATTCTTGTTGGCATTCAAGGGAATGAAATGTTCTAATCTTATATCGGTTGGAGAGGGAAACGAAACATTCTTTATAAAGGTGTGGAACCTCTCTCTAACATACGTGTTTTAAAACCGTGAGGTTGATGGCAATACGTAATAGGCCAAAGTGGACAATATCTGCTAGTGGTGAGTTTGGGCTGTTACAAATGATATAAGAGCCAGACACCAAGTGGTATGTCAGCAAGGACGTTGGGCTCCCAAGGGGGCGGATTGTGAGATCCCACGTTGGTTTGAAAGGGGAACGAAACATTTCTTGATGAGAGTGGAAACTTCTCCCTAACAATGCGTTTGAAACCTGTGAAACTGAGGACAATATGTAACGAACCAAAGCGGACAATATTTGTCCATAGTGAGTTTGAAATGTTACGTTTTCTCTCTTATGTCTTCCTATGGATTTCATTTGAGGCATACCTCATATCCAATGTGATCATGCTTAACTTAGTTTTAGTAAACTACTACGACTTTATGTTGCTATTAAGACTATTGTGTCAAATAAAGATATTAAGTTTAGGAGCTACTTTGTAGAGACAAACCTCCGAGGTACACTTTACATGCTGTTATCCAATGGGGCTTCACATATCGATTATGGCCGAGGTACACTTTAGCCCTTCGATCTCTCCGGTCTTCAACTTTAATTAAGAATGATTATCCGAACTAGATGTACATGTATTAATTAAGTATAATTTTGCGACAAAATCGATGAAGCAAAAGCACATGAAAGTATATAATATAAGAGCTTGTAGTAACAAAGAGAAACAACATCTAATCATGCTATACATAACTTTTAACACATCTCAATATTTTCATATCTAAATCTAAGCATTATTCTATAAATACAAGGGACAATAGACTTTTTAAATAAATGTCTAAATTACCCCCAAAAAAATATATTTAAAATGCGTCGATAATATATAATTCATTTTTAAAAATACCCTTTTATTTATTAAATCAAATTATCTACTTTTTCAAGTTTCAAAGTAATTTTCCACTTTTTTTCACGGAATTTAATCATTTAAAATCAATCCAAAAGTCTCCCGAACATTCTATATTCTTAATGCAACCTTTCGAATATCAAACACGTAAGCTATGAATATGAGTTGCAAAAGAAAATGATATCGTAAAAGGGTTCGATATAGATCGATTGCCGTAGTTTAATACTATCTTAAACGACCACTTAACCTTCAACATATCGTTCATACACATCAATCCGATTTACAAAAATCTCGAAGTTTAAACTCGGATGAACGACTTGAACGATAGATTAAGATATATTTAAAAGCCTAACAAAGTTGGTAATTATGCCTAATGAGAGAGAGAGAGAGACAAGAGGAGGATTGCGCCCTAAAAAACAAACAATGAAACACAGATGGCAGGAAACCGCGGCTGAGGAACAGAGTCGGTTCATGTTCTTCTACTCTTTTTTTATTTTTATTAAATAAATATTTAAATTCTAGCTAAATAATAATAATAATAATAATAATATTTTAAAAATTAAAAAAGAAATTGAAAATGGGAGTGATAGGCATATGTTTGTTCTTTAACGTCATAGGTAATAAATAATTGCACAATATTTTTGACCATTGCTTTTGGATTTTTCCTATATTTTAAAGAAATAATAAATAATAAATAAATAAATAATAATAATAATAATAATAATAAATAATTAAGTTCCTTCCAGTGACGCGGCTTTCCATGCATGCTTTCACGTGCACTTTCTTCCCCGCCGAAACCCTAACTCGTTTCTTTGTCTCTCTTTTCACACGATCTCTATTTTATTATTCTTTTTTTTTTCATTAATTTATAAATTTACGTCTACGTTGCGACACGTAATGGTTCCGACATTCCCTTATGGCATACCTACTTTACTTACTCCTCGTTTCTAACCGTGAAAAAAATATCCCCACGAACCAACACGAGTCATTCCACCATATTTTGTCCTCACTCACATGAAATTACTCAAGTAAAACATACTTAACTATGAAGTACGTCTTGTTAGTATAAGTAAGTTTTTCTTAATTATTTTCATTCGAATATGGTCTTAGTTTATTCATATACCTCTCCAGAAATTTTTGAATTTTAAATAATAATTATTCTATTTAAAATTCAAATAAATAGATACAAACTTCGAAGTGAACTCCGAACTAGAAAACAAAGAATACTATTTGGAATATTTTATTTAAATTAAAAAATAAAAAATATATATATAAATAATATAAACACTATTCCCCAAACCCCATTATAGTACATTTTTGGCAAACTTTGAAGTTTCTCAAAAAGCTACCATAAACAGCACGTTTTGAAGCTTTAAAGAATGGAAGTTGTAGACATTCGAGGAGAGGTATAAAACCACTGGTTCTACACGTATCGTATTGAGATAAGCACTTAACCAATTAATTAGCTTTAGTAGATGCGTTTTAAAAGCATGAGGCTAATGGTGATACGTAACGGATCAAAGCGAACTAATATTAACTAACGGTGGTGGGTTTGGGCTGTTATAAATGGTATTAGAGTCAATCACTGAGTAGTGTAACCATGAGAACGCTAGGTGTGAAGGGGATGGATTGTTAGATCTCACATCGGTTGGAGAGTGGAGTGAAGTATTGCTTATAAGAGTGTTGACACATCTCCCTAGTAGACGCGTTTTAAACCCGTATTGCTAACGACAATACATAACGAGCCAAAACGGATGGTATCAACTAGCGGTGGACTTGGACTGTTACAAATGGTATCAAAGTCAATCACCGAGCAGTATGCTAGTGAGGACACTAGAGCTCAAGGGGGTGGATTGTTAGATCTCACATCGGTTGGAGAGTGGAACAAAATATTGCTGATAAAGGTGTGGACATCTCTCCCTAGTAAACTTGTTTTAAAATTGTGAGGTTGATGACGATACGCAATGGGTCTAAGCAGACAATATCAACTAATGGTGGGCTTGGGCTATTATAAATTGTATTAGAGCCCATCACCGAGTGGTGTGCCAATGAGGACGCTAGGTCTCAAGGGGGTAGATTGTTAGTTCTCGCATCGGTTGGAAAAAGTGGAACAAAGCATTGCTTATAAAGGTCTGAACACCTCTCCCTAGTAGACGCGTTTTAAAACCGTAAGGCTAACGACAATACGTAACAAGCCAAAGCGGACGATATCAACTAGCGGTGGACTTAGGCGGTTACAAACGGTATCAAAGTCAATCACCAGTGGTGTGCCAACAAGGACACAGGGTCTCAAGGGGGATGAATTGTTAGATCTCGCATCGGTTAGAGAGTGGAACAAACCATTGTTTATAAAGGTTTGAACACCTCTCAGCGTTTTAAAACCGTAAGGCTAACAACAATACATAACGAGCCAAAGCAGACGATATCAACTAATAGTGGACTTGGACTGTTACAAATGTTTTCTTCTACGAACTTAACGGTAATGGCCGTGTTTGTAACCGAGGGGTTGAAATGAAAATTTAAAAATATTTTTTTTGTTAGGTAGAAGGGTAAGTTTAAAATATAGAGAGAGAGGAGGGGGTGTGATGCAAAAAACAAAATGATGAAGCCTATGGTAGCAATAATTAATGTTCTGAATAAAATCTTTCTCTTTTTCCTACAATTAAAAATCTCTCTTATTTCGTAAGAAATCTTTACCAAAGTACTAAGCTCACTGTAAATATTCACAAAATTTTTAGGAGTTTGGTAACACCCCATTAAATACTTTTCTAGTTTTAATTTTTTTTAAAAAATTAACATTTTTAAAATTTTAAATAAAATATATTTTAAAAAAATTAATCACCATTTTTAAATTAAATAAAAGAAAATTTAATAATTATATATATATATATATATATATATACATATATATTATTTATGCCTGCACAAAATTACACACAACAGGGTGATTAATAATTAGTCTCATTTCATAATACCCAAATAAGTACAAACTATTTGTACTTTCTTTTTGTTTCACTTTTTAATGTTAATTATGGATTAATTAACAATTAAGGACAATTTAAAGAATTTTTTAAATAATATTTAAAAAGAAATGTTATTATATCTTTTATTTTAAAAAAATTTAATTCCAATAAATTTTTAACTCTTTTAAGTCTCACTCATTGAAACGTGGTTTTGGTTCATTTATGTACCTCTCTTTTATTCGGGTATCATACTAATGAACCCCTCGATGTCCTTATTTGATAGGTTTCTTATCCATAATTAAAAGTCAATTAAGATAATTTTTTTAAAAAATAATTAATGTTGTATTCTTTTGAATGGCCAAGAATTCTTACCATTTCCAAAACCCTTCAAATTTGACCATGAATTCAGTGTACTTTTGACCAAAAGTGGGGGTAAAAACTGAAATAAAGTAAGGTTAAATAGAAAGTCAACTTAGAGTTGATTTAAAAGTGTGAGACTGAAAGTTAACAATATCTAATAGTGGTGAACTTAAACTGTTACAAATAGTATTAGAGCTAGATATCGGATGGTATATGAATAAAGACGTTGGGTGTCCAAAAAGAGTGAAGTGATAGCCGACAACGTCTTAAAACGTGGGTATTTAATGAAATTATAGGATTTGAAATTGGAAATTGGGTTAAAGAGATAATGATTTAGAAGCTAGGAAGAGGGTTGCTCATTGTTAATGATATTACCCACCACTTGAACAATTTTAGGGGATAGCTTAGCTTAGGTTACACAAAATACTCCTTTATCAACCACCAAAAAAGGGATATGTTCAATGTCTTCACTTTTGGAACACCGTTTTAGTTTTCATTTTCCTGTAACAACCTCTCGCTAACAGATATTGTCCTTTTGAGCTTTCCCGTTCGAGCTTCCTCTCAAATTTTAGAGTTTTCCACACACTCATAAAGAATATTTCGTTCTTCTCCCC